ACTTCTGGGTTTCAGAGCCTCAGCTTTCCTGATAATTTACTTTTGAAAGGCTCAGGCCTGTGGGGTTGGCCAGGGTGAGTTCCGCAGTCACATGTGTGGCTGCCTGGAGATGTCGAGCTGCCGTGGTCAGTCTGACGAAGTATACATAAGCTTTGGCCCCTCATATCTGCAATATCACGGACGGGCAAGGAGGCGCCTGTTATAAAAATACACAGTGAAATACAACTGAAGGACTGCTCTTTCTCAAAGACGAGCGTAATGCATTCCTTCTGTTTAGGCTCATTTTCCAGCCTTTCACATTCTTTGTGAACAAGAGTTATAAAACAACCCTGATGCAGGCCAATTATTTTTACTTTGAAGGCCATTAATCAAGATTGACTAAGAAAATGAAGACAGCTAAGCAAAATTTCATATGTGACTAGAGTGAGATTAAAATAAAACCAGATGGGATGGACAGAGACACTAAGCATTTTTTTTTTATATTTTTGGACTCATGTAATAAATGTCTTTTACAAATTACAGCTCTCTTATTTTCTTACAGTAAATCAAATCAGGCCATAATGTACAAGTGGTCTCATTGCTGAAATGTCAAAAATAGAACCTGCCTTGTTCTTGTAGAGTAATTCCTCAAATCTAAACCAGCAGTGCGGGCTAACAGTCTATAAACCATTTACCTGCGTGCAATCAGAACTGGACCTGATGGACGGATTTCTCATGGCCGCCAAGCAACGCAACACAGTGAATGCCCAGAGATCTCACCCCGAAATGATTTGGGCTTCCGGATCAGAGTTATTCAACAGTTCAGTGCCCCTTAAGTAAAGAAAAGGCGAGTTTGAGTGCTCTTAAATATCTCTGTCATGGAAGTGACTAAGGAAGTAACGAGCCCACCTATCTGGAGACTTAAAAAAATTTTTTTCTCTTGATCTTCAAGACTGATACTGCTGGTAGAATATTTTTTCATAGGAGAACACATTTTGAAATACACATTTTATAAACAAAACAGTAAAATGTGTATGTTAGAAAATAAAATGAAATCTTTTTCTCTAATTTTACATGGATAGCAAGGTTCTATCACCCTTACTTCATACAGCAGCAAAAATCTCCCCGCAGTGAGAAAATGACTGAAAATAACCAGCTGTTACAGGATCTCTATCAAAACACACACCATAATCCCAAAGAATTCTTCCCCATTTAGCACTGTCAGGTTAAAAAGTCTGCTTAGGAAATGAGACTAAACTTTCTTTTCATAACACTCAATGAACCATTTCCACCATATATTTAGAGAGGACATATGCATTTCTTAAAGCAGATTCAAAATAATCTGTAAAGAAAATGAAGTGGATTTTCAACTACGGTAAATTTTCTTAACTCCTCTGATGCTTCCCTTTCAAGATGAAAAAGGCAATTTTGAGTTTTGAAAAGGGTTTTTTGCAAAATTCTTTTCTCGAGAAAAAAAAAAAATCAACCCAAGAGAATGAGAAGGACACCCACCATTCATTCCTCCTCCACAAATCCCTAAACAAATCAGGAAACATTTGTCCAAAATTCCTCAGAAAACAAAACAACTCCCTACACATAGTTATATTTTCTTTAATGCAGTGGATGGGATCCTCAAAAGTTACATTGACATTGCATTTCTGTAAGTGGGCTCAATAATTAGTCGCTTCCTATTTAAAGCCTGCTGGTGAATTCTTTTGTAAATAGGATTTCTTACTGATCTATAGAGGCCATCATAAAGGAATATTAATGAATTAATTAAACTAAATTGGCACGAACTTCTGAAAGCTCAGAGCATTTTTGAAGTTCAAATTTTTATGTGGATTTCTTTTTTTTTTTTTCATTTAATTGATTTTTTTTTTCAGTGTTCCATAATTCATTGTTTATGCACTACACCCAGTGCTCCACGCAATACATGCCCTCCTTAATACCCACCACTGGGCTCACCCAATATCTACAGTCTCTCATGGTTTATCTCCCCCTCCGATTTCCCCCAGTTCACTTCTCCTCTCCCTCTCCCCATGTCCTCTGTGTTATTCCTTATGCTCCACAATAAGTAAAACCATATGATAATTGACTCTCTCTGCTTGATGTATTTCATTCAGCATAATCTCTTCAATATGTCCATGTCAATACAAAAGTTGGGTGTTCATCCTGTCTGATGGAGGCATAATACTCCATTGTATATATGGACCATATCTTTATCCATTCATCTGTTGAAGGGCATCCTGACTCTTTCTACAGTTTGGCGACTGTGACCATTGCTTCTGTGGATTTCTTGATCAGTGATCTAGCAGCCAGACTAACTCTCCACAATATGTTTATATGTAAAGCAGGAATACAGAACTCTGCATACCAGTATAGCTCTAACTCATGGAGAATATTATCATGAAAACTTTCTTTTGATCTCAAATAATATAACAAATCCAAACTCAGTATCTTTTTTGTTGTTGTCAAAACTATATACTTCTCTTGATATCCAAATGTCTGTCAATTACAATCTCATCCTCCAAGCCTAAACCTTAAAATACCCTAAATTTTAACATCTCCCAGTCCTCTTTGGTATCTCGAGCACCCATGCTACTTTCCCTCCTCTGTCTGCCAGCCACCATGTGCTACCTGTCTAAATTGGTCCAGGAAGTCAAGACTTCCCCAAAGTCCAATACAAAGGAACTGACCATCCTGGTGGGGTGGGGGAGGAGGTTATGTCAAGGGGATGGTGCTACTAAGTCATCAGCTTTCTGTGCAAAAAAGGGGGAAGTGAGGCTAGAATCTAATGGAGCAGAATAGATGAGTTTAACACAACTAAGAGAGGAAATGTCCATTCACCCCCACTTCAGTCTTAACCTTTCCATCTCTCTGGTTCCACCATTCTTGCTCAAATTGAAAAAAGATCTAGGAATTATTTGGGATTCTGCTCTTTCTTTATCTGCATTCAATCTATCAGTAAATGCTACCAACTCTGACTTCAAAACACACCCCAAACTCCCAACAGCCCCATACCACTTACTATTAAATTTATGGTCAATTCTCTTCTGACAGTGACTTGTTGCCTCAACTATAGCAATGGCTTCCCTATGTTATCCCTGACTCTCCTCTGGCCCTTATGATCAATTTTCAAGAGAGCAACAGAGTGATCTTTTAAATATGGAAATTAGGTCTTATTTTACATTCCTCTTGAAAACTTTCCAACTGTTTTCCTTCCTAAGTAGAGTAATGCCTTAACTCATTACGATGCCAACATCTTAACTTATTACGGTGGCCTAAACAGCCTTATCTCATCCATCTCCACTTACCTTTCTGACAATATCTCCTTCCACTTTCACTGTGGCTTACCACATTCAAGCCAGCTGGCCCTTTGTTGTTCCTGGAATGAGCCAAGTTCATTTCTGTCTTGGGGCCATTGCCCTAACTATGTCCTATACACAGAGCACTAAAGAAATATTCTGCCAATATTTTGTATGGCTGTCTGCTTCTTGTCATTCAAATCTTTGTTTAAATGTCACTTTCTCAGAAGGGCCACTTTAACATTCTTCCTATATTTCCCCCAGTCATTGTCTGTCACATTACCTTATTTTAATTCTCTGCCCTTTTCCTTGTGAGTGTATTCATTTTTTTGGTGACTGTCCATCAACAATAGAATGTGAGCTCCATCATGGCTGACGTCTTGCCTCTCTTGGTTGCTGTTATATTTCCAGCAGTAGATCTGTGTTTGTCCTTCAACAGGAATAAAATAAGTTTGTTGAATAAGTCAAGGAGTGAAAAATGGAGAGAAAAAAAGATAAGCCAGAAAGCACAAAAAAGAAGAAGTAGAGACAAAATGGGTGGAAATGAGGTATAAGGAGTTCCTTTGGAGTCTGGCTTCATAAATGTGGAGACTCTTGGTGGCTTCCCCGTTTTAAGGAAAGAGCTTGTTTTTTTTTAAAGAGACAAAGTTACACTGAGCATAATCAACTGTTCCCTTTGATTGCCTTTTTAAACCGTTCTCCTTTTCCTTTCCCTCTAACCACATCACTTTTTTTTCTCAGTTTTCTGTGCTTTTTTGGCTGGACCACCTTGTGCTGGTTTTGCCTCTTTCCAGTCCATCCAGTGGACTGGTACCAAATTAATCTTCCTAAAAACAGTTTTCATGATGTCACCTTCTAGCTCAAAACACTCTTCAAGTGGTTCTCAGTATCTAAGGGCAAAGGTCAAACATTTTAGTTTAATATACAAGACCATCAAACTGCACCCAGACATCCTTCCCAACCTTATCTCCCATTGCTTCAACAGAAGTCCACTCTCCAGTTAGATTCTGGAACTTATGTTTTTGCTCCTGATCTTGCTCATTTAATCTCAGTGGACTAAAATCTTCTCTTTCTCTTTTACTCAGCTTTCAACCAGTGATCACAGTCCAGGCAGGATCTCAAAATATCTTCTTTTTAAATCCTAAAGTGCTTATTATTACTGAAATTATTTACTGTATCTTTGGCCATTATCACACATTACTTTCTAATGATCATTATTTTCTCATTAAAACAAGTCTTGGTATTCCTGAAGGTTGGAAATACATTACTTTACTTTCTCCCTGCATTCAGCTTTGATAGTGAGCATTCTTTTGGAAATCTTAGAGACTGACTTTCTTTACCAGGAAAAGGGGGACAATAATAGTAACTTTGCAGATTTTCTAGAAAAATTAAGTGATAATAATGCATTTAATTAGCTTAGCACAGTGATATATATGAAGTGTCATTACCTTAGTTCACTGCAAAGAGGCAGATTAACAAATTGATTAGTTGACCAAATGATTTTTAAAGACCACATAAAACATGGATTTATTTATACTGCAAATACATCTCTCCAAAACATGCATATTGTAGGGGCGCCTGGGTGGCTCAGTCATTAAGCATCTGCCTTCAGCTCAGGTCATGATCCCGGGGTCCTGGGATCGAGCCCCGCATCGGGCTCCCTGCTCAGCGGGAAGCCTGCTTCTCCCTCTCCCACTCCCCCTGCTTGTGTTCCCTCTCTCGCTGTCTCTGTCAAATAAATAAATAAAATCTTTAAAAAAAAAAAAACAACAAAACATGCATATTGTAAACACCTATCAGTTAATCTTGTATAAAAGGATATAACTTCTGATTTCCAACACCACCATTATATTTAATAACTTGACCCAGTGATTCTTAACTTTAACCTATTCCTTACTAAAACCCTATTGAAAACCTGATTAAAGCTCTCAACTCTCTCCCTAGAGAAATGCACAGACATACAAAATTTGCTGTATAGTTTCAGAGAGTTTCATGGCCCCTTATAGACCAGACAGAAACCTTAGGGACCTTACTGGACCCTTAGTAAGACATGAAATCCAACGTCAAGACTGATCACTTCTCCCATTCCTTATTCTCTGACAGTACCGCATTAATAACCAAACACCAATCAGCAGCAGAGCACATGAACTCAACTTTTTTTTTTTATAAAGACAAACTAAATGAGATAAAAGAAAGCCAGAATAACAAAGAACTAATAATTTTTTCTTTTAACACTTTTTTTGCAACAAGCGCATTATAATGCTTTCATATTGGGTTTCAAAAATACAGAACATTTAGTTTAGGCTCTTTCATTGTCTTCACATACGAGATAGAAAACAATATTTACCTGGCACGGAAAATACCACTACCATGAGATAGAAAACTACAAAGTCAGAGGAAAGCCCAAGTTTAACTTCAAATTTGAGAGTTTAGTTCTCATGAACTTTGTTCCTTCCTTCTTTCATTCTTTCTTTCCATCCCTGAAGCAATTGAATGCTTCTTCGATGCTAAAAATTGCTGTTTGCTAAAAATTGGGCAGCCAATAGTAAACGATATGGCTTCAACTCTAAAAGATCTCATGGAAAAGACATCATTAAATAGCTCTATGAATAAATACGTACTTAAAATATAATATGTGTCAAGACAGACAATCATTGGAAGTTACAAGAGTACATAACTGAAGGAGAGGACCTAGTCCAGAGATCACAGAAAATCTCTTAGATCCATTTTAATTGAAATTTGAAGATTGAGAAGGTGTTAACTAGATAAAGTGTGTGCATGGGGGATTGGGTGGTGTGATAGGAATCCCCAAGGCAGGAGAAACATTTTAGGAACTCGGAACACTAATATCACTGGAAGGTGGGACAAATACAGTGGGCATTGTAAGTCATGTATTTATGTTGGAAATGCTTTGGATTTCAAATAATGGAAGATTCCACTAACAGTAGTTTAAAAAATATAGGTTCAATAACAAAGATTTTAGCAGTAGACAATTATTGACATTAGTTCAGCCATCTATTGATTCCAATGGAGACCCAGATTTTTGTTTTTTTACCATCTATGGTCAGTGGGTTGTTTTTCATCCTCACATTCATCATCTCATGGTCATAAAATGGCTGCCAAAACCCCAGGCATCACAGCCATATCCAAGACAGGAAGAAGTAAAGGAAAGGTGGAAGCAACAGATACATCCATTTCATATGAAAGAGCAAAGGTTCTTTTGGTCCTTGGCACATTTCCAATTATACCCTATCAGTTAGAAAGCTATCCCATACCCTCTTCTAGCTGCAAGTGCAAGAAAGTCAGGAGAAGTGAATATTAGCTCCTCTAGCTCTTTGGGTAGGTGGTCAAGGGACAACCAAGATGGGAATTGATACAGAGCTTGGTTAGTAACAATGCCTGTCTCTGGTGTCAAGGGCTTTATTCTTTACCTTAAAAAGCAAAATGAGTGAAGGCATTAAGCATTCTAATTTAAAAACATATAACCACTTAAAAACCTGTATCTCTCAGGCTATCACAGGCAAAATTGATTGGAAGGAGAAAGAGATGATGTGAGGTGGTGGAAAGCTATTGATTAAGGTGAAAGATGGTTGGGACTTGAACTGAAGGGGTGGTGGTGAAGGGGGAGAAGGAAGGCAGTGGAGAGTTCAGGAGGTTTAGGGCTGCTCTGATTATTTAGAGGCCTTTTGTGAATAGGAAATGAAATCATGTGTGAATTTGCTTTAAAACTATAGTTTTATACCAAATTAGCTCATTCTAAAGTCACAATCTGACTAGTTTGTTATTAAGATAAATATTGTCCTTGAACTTAAAACTCTTCTCCATTAGTGAAACTCTTGGAAAGAATAAAAGCTGGTTGATTCATTTGGCAAGATAAAATACTTTCTGATGCTTTTTTCTTACAAAAGTCAAAACTGAACTTCCACTTCATGATGTAGAAAAGGTAGAAAACATCGCCAGGCCAACTGTATTTGCACCTCTAGCTTAATAATATAATTGTGCTTTTGTGAACATCCCAAGAAAAAACCAAATGCAGTAGATTAAGGATATCCTTAAAACATGAGGAAACATTCCATTTCCCTTAAGTAAGGCAAATCATTCTACAAGAAAATAAAGGGGGAAAGGGAATGAAACCCACATCTTAACAGAAATTTCACAGAAAAATATTAGAATTTCTCAGGGTTTTCTATAACTGCTACTAGAATTCATTCCTGAGCTGAGATTTTTTTATTTCAACTTTCACATTAACAGTCCAATAATAAACCCCTGATTAAAGAAAAAGAATTCCAGTGAAAGGGTTGAAATAAGCTTAATTGTAGAGGTGTGATTAGTGCCACAGTGATAGACTCCCAGGTAATGATTTTTAAAATTTTAGAGGAAATGTTTAACAAGATGATTGCCTGACTATAAAATGTCTCTGTATAAGAAAATAGTCTTTGAAAGCAGCATTTGGGCCCTGTTGCACTAATACATCCATGAATGGCAACGCTTCTTTTATAGTTTTGATGAATGCTAAAGTAGAAACTATATTATAATGATTTTGGACCCAGAACTGTGAAAATAGCTGGCAGAATATGAACACTTTACCAGATCAATCAATTTTCATTTAAAATTCTACTTATTGTGTATAGTATCAAACTATGAAAATGTAACATTTCAAACTAGTGATTTCTGTCCTACCAAAATTGCAGTACTTATTTGGGTTTTGAAATAGATAGGATCAGCATTAGACACAGCATGGTGTAACCAAAAAAAAAAAAAAAAAAAAAAAAAAAGGAACTTGAAATACCTATGTAACTGCATTCTAGTATCTTTTACTTAGTCATTCAACTGCAAACATTTACACACAGCCTAAAGCATGTAAGACATAGAAATAGAAAGACCTCAGATATTTTCAGGTATTCTTAAATGCTCAGGTTTGGCATGATCCTGTGTTCATCTGTAATGATGAACCTAGAAGTTTTGGGGAACATAGAGAAGAACTCATCACTGGTGGGTATGGATGTATGAAGGGGCTTAGCAAAAGCTTCTAGGAAGGGGTGACATATGAACAAAGAATCTTCACTTACAAAGGAAAGGAGCCAGTTCAAGGGGCAAAGAACATGGGGAAACAGTGCCCTTTTAAGGGGCTCAAGTGATTTGATGTCACCAGAGTATAAAAAGTGTCAAACAATGAGACAGAACCACATGATCAACTCTGGCTATCTTGACAAGAAAAAAAAAAATGCTGGAGAGTATGGTATGGCTCACAAAGAATCTTATATCCATCATAAAGGAACAGGGATTTAATTCTGGACACAATAAAGACTTTTCTGGAATATGCTCTAGTCATATTTAGATTTGAAATAATTCATTTGGGTAACCCTGTGAAAGATGGATTTAAAGGAGTCCAGTAGGAATCTTTTGATGGTGAGCTCGGAGAAAGAGGTTGGAGAAGAGCCAAGAAATACTGGGAAAGTAAAATACTTGTGAAAAACAGAAGACTCAAGAATATGAAGTAGAGAACACACAAAGCCTGACCCAAGAGTGGTGGAAGCAAAGCTTGGGTGATGGAGAAGGTGATGAGTGTTCAGACATGTTGAGTTTTGGGTACCTATGGTACATCCAGGCAGAGATGCCTGCAGAAAACTGGATATAGGAATCTACAACTCAGGGGATTTTCTTGGGTAGAAGACCCTAATTAAGAAGTCATCAGCATGCAGCATACAAGGGGAGGAGAGCATTTGGCTGCTGAAATTTCAATTGTTAATAATAGGACTCCAGGAGACTGGCATGAAACTAGCAGGAGGTCCTGCCTTATATTGTGTGGTTCCTCAAAGATCAGATGACAGAATATCTGGAAAAAGAGTATGGAAGAGAAGTATGGGATGCTTATTAAATTAACTTGGACTCAAATCCTTGAAGGATACATATTTTGAAAACTAAAAACTATAAATGTAATAACATAAACATTCACTTACCAAAATATTTTTGTGGTGTGAGATAGATATTAGGAAGAGCAGAAAATACTACTAAGAAAAATTTATAATTCCATTCAAGATTTATCTTGATGATACTGGGGAAAAAGTTAGTGAAAAAAATAATACCTTATATTTGAATAATTAATTCAACTTTTTTAAGTTGTCAGGTTTCATTTCTTTTCATCTTTTCTGGTATGTGCCCTCAAGGACAAATCAAAATCACTAGAAAAGCACTCTTTGAGGTTAAAATTTCCAGACCATTCTTCAGATAGAATTAGTCCTTCACAATTCTAGAACATTGTTGAATTTAAAGAACTGGAGAGGAAAAGGGGCTTACAATATTTTGGTAACTCAGTCCAATGACTTTTGAAACTAGTCACTGGACTTGGTACTAATTATATCAAAAGGAGAAGGTAATGATTTAAGATCATTTTCTTTGCTTATGCCCCTCAGTATTGTTTTAAGTTCATCTCCTCTTTCCAAAGTAAGTGGTGCAAAAGTCATCTTTGCTACTTTCCCAGAAATAACTTGAAGTTGGTGTTGAGTACTGAAATTGGGTTTTTCATAGGTAGACTTCCTGTCCTTATTTACAACAGAATGAATGGAGATGCAACACTCACTTGGGTTCTGTTGTAGCCCATCAAAAGGGTTTTGTTAGTATTCTTTTAAAAAAGACTGCAGGTTGGTTTTAATGTAGTTAGGGTTGGTTAGAGACCAGCAGAAGTATGTGATGTTTAGAATCAGTTATAATATCCTAAGGCAGGTTACTTAACAATTTTTTTTTAACCTTAACTGTGAAGGACACATCATGACACCTACCTCACAGTACTTTGAAGAGATAAATTAGATGATGTATATAATGGGCTTATAATAACAGCTGGTTATTTTTTCTCAATAAATTAATAGATGTTCCTAGCTCTAATGATAATTAACAACTGTTTCAATTTAAGATTATCTTTATAACTCAGTGTCATTTATTTGGACTGCCCAGCATGCAAATACTTTATAACATAAGAGAGGTCCTACAGCAGGTAAGAGTTCAGACCATGCTTCCCAAACGAAAACTTTAAAAAGCGTGCTGATACATTGCATCCCTCTGACCAACTAGATGTTCCCACTTGGGACTTAGAGAAATTTGGAAATCATGATATATCGTCATGTAGCATGGTTCCAAACAGTATGTTTAAAAATTTCTGGTTTGCTAGATATTGACATACAGTTTATCATTCTCTTTTAGCACTTTTAAAGTACTGTTTCCCTGAGAATTTAAACATTGAGGTAATTATCTGCTCAAAGCTGTTTATAATATTTTCTTACCAATTCATTCATTCATTGATTCATTCTTTTTAACTTACTGTTTACATATTTATAACATATGAATATTCATATGCTCTAAATACATTTTAAATTTAATTTTAAATTTATTCTTCCTATAAAGACAGAATGAGCGACCAATTAGCTGGTCACTGTGCTAAATACTTCATGACCTAGGGAACAGTGAAGAGGTGAGACAATAGGGAAAAAAATGATATTAATAAACATGAGAAAATTAAATGCATCCTTGTTATGACTAATGAATTAGAAATTAATTGAAAATTTTATCATTTGGTTGTATTGAATGTAGTTGGAAAATTACACCATATTTTATCTATTTTTAAGTACTTTTTGTGCCTCAAGAAAATCATTAAATGCTTTGTTTTCCCCCATAAAGTTTACAATTCTGAATTTAGGAGATTAGAGCTTACTGCAGTGCTTACTTTTTAGAACATTAACACAAAGGCCAATTTTTTTTCCCCATTTTTATTTAGAAGTTTATTTTCTGCTGCATTTTGTTATCTTCATTGGCAAAAATGTTTTTAATTTACATTCAGGAAACACTCCAGACCACTATGAGATAAGAACTCCAACTCCCTATTACATAGATCCTCTTTTGTTTACCTTGCAGGGCTTTGGTTCCCAAATCCCCAAAACACTGCACCAATGGATGATCTTAGTCAGGAGTCCACTTCTAGGCCTATCAGCCACTCAATAATTAAAGATTCATTGATTATTTTTAGTTTGTGCACTGGCCTGACCTAAAAGTAAATCAATGCCTGGATGACTGGCAGGAGATAAGACACATTTCTAGTTTTGGAATCATTGAGTGATCCAGAATTACTAGAGGTGGCAGGTTATTATGATGCCATTCCATTCACATAGAAACATGGAAAAAAAAAATTGCCACAAAGGTAATAGTCTAATCCCTCTCTCCCATTGGGCTTCCATCTACAAATGAGATTATAGCATGCAGCAGGTAATACAATGCCCACACTCTATCCTCTAAGATGTTGTCCTAATCCCTGGAAGCTGTGAATATGTTATGTTACATGGAAAAGGGGGATTAAGATTAGAGATGGAATTAAGGGTACTAAAGAAAACTAACCTTATAATAGCGAGATTATCCTAGATTATCTTTGTGGGCCCAATTAATCACAAGAATCCTTACAAGTGGAAGAAGAAGGCAGAAGAGGGAGAAAGATACAAACACATAAGCAAGGTCTAAGAGATGAAGCATTGCTGGAGTTAAAGATGGAGGAAGAAGGCCATGAACCAAAGAATGTGGTAGCCTCTAGGAACTAGGAAAGGCAAGGAAATAGATTGTCCCCTAGAGCTTCCAAAAGGAATGCAGATGTGCTGAGACCTTGATCTTAGCCCAGGAAGACCTGTGTTTGAGTTTTTACCTGCTGAATTGTACAATAATAAATCTGTATTGTTTTAAGCCACTAAATTTGTGTTTAGTATGATGGCAATAAAAAATTAATGCGTAGAGTTATCATTATATAATTTTCTAAACTAAGGATACTGAGTAAAATATCTGGAAGTTGGAAGATGTGGAAGGTGCTCTAGCCTAGATCATTTCCAAAACCCCTTTCCATTTTGAAATTCCAGTTTCTTCCCAATAAAACATATATAGCTGCAACTATATTGGCCCCAAGTCATAACCTTAACAGAGAGTACTTAAGAGTCTTCTCTCTTTTTTATTTTTCTCTCCAACAATTTGTCTTTTCCACTCACTTCATTAGACTTCTATATCTAGGAAATACATCTGGGAAAAGTATGTTATTTATAGTACTCACCAACTCTTTATCATCAGCTTTAACTTTCCAGCAAACACACTTATTTATTGGTTAGCTAGTCTTGGACTTATCTGTCAGGATGGGATGAATCCCTCATCAGGATTGGTGGGACTAATATCTGTAAGAGCAGGTGATGAAGTAACCAAATTGAAATTCTTAAAATCACTAGAAGCCAAAGTTACTCTGGGAACAGATTTTTCTTTCAGTCAGAAGCTCTTGACATGGTCACTTTCACCTTCCCACAATATTTTTTGGCCATATTACTAAAGGAAATAGCTAAACTGAAGAGCATAGGAAGACACAGGCTGTGGAAAGGAGGATTATGTATAATTTATCAAAACATAATTTGGGGTGTGTTCTGGAAAATCCAGAATGGAATCATCACATCTTCCTAGAGTACCTTTTACAAAGGCAATTGGTTTTCAATTTGAATGCTTATATTTTAAAAAGAACGAACTTAAGTATTCTCCCCCCAAAAAAGAAATGGCAGTTATGTGGCATACTGTGGCTGTTAACTCATGCTATAGGGGTGATCAGCTTGTAATACACAAGCATATCAAATCAACACCTCGTATACCTTATATTTACACAGTATTATATGTTGATTCTATCTCAATAAAGCTAGAAAAAATGGAAATTAAAAAATTAAAAAGATCTATATTGTTACTGATTTTTCTTTCTTCCTGAGTCTACTAACTAGAGCATTCAGCTGCTAAGAATTATTTTTGCCTGAATTAAATATGGATGGGTAACTCAGGCCCATTTCAGGTTCAACAAACATCTTGAACTATTTTTCAAACATTTGGAATTTGGCAAACAAATATTTTACTCAGTAATTCTTTGCTTAATTTTTAAATCCTTGTGTGTTTTAAGGGGAATTTAATCCGTATGTTTCTGATTCATTTACCATTAACTGATCAAGCTGGTTTTGTTGTTGTTGCTGCTATTTTTTTTTTTTTTTTGGTGGGGGGTGTGGGGAATGTTTAAAGGATACTTTCAGAGAATTTGACAAATTTCTTGAGAAAAAAAAAAAAAAAAAGAATAGGAAAGATCCTTGCTGCCAGAGAGGAAATCAAGTGTCAAGAAGAGTTGAAAGAAGTTCTAGATTTATATTAGAAATGCAGCTTGACTCAAAAAGAGAGAAACCATTCTTTTTCTCCCAATTTTACTGGTAAGATTGAAAGACTTTATGAATTTAGGATCACAGACACGAATTGGTGCTCGTGGAACTGGGATTTACTCACCATTCTAGGTGCTGGTCCCCAGTGAGTCTGAAATAAAATGGTAACTCCTCCAAGGGAGAAGAAGAGCCAAAAAGAAATGTTTTTAGCAGCCCAGAAAAAGAATTATTTATGATTAGACAGCAAAGAGAAAGAAAAGATGAGTGGGTCTAAGAGGAAAAACAGAGGGAGAAGAAAAAGAGAGGGATATTTCTAAAAAAGTTAAATGATCATAATTTCCTTTTTGCTCCTAGAGGATCCTCGGCTATAGCCTTACAGCTGCATGGACATGAAATAGCTAATCACTGAAACTGCTCCATTACCCCTGATAAATTTGGAATAGATTTTACTTTAACCCATAGTAGAGCCACTTGTAATAAACTTAAAAAAGGCTTTTAAGTGGAGCAATCAACATCACTTGCTCTATTTGCATTCTTTCTTCAATATATTGATTTATTTTTCAAAAAAAAAAACCCACCATTATCACACTTTTTCAATTTGACTTCTGTTTTTCTCTGAACTTTTTGCATCCCTTACCCTATTTCAGAAGCAAGAATTGCCAGATCAGAAGAAAAGATATTGCACTATTTAATATTTTATATAGGTTTTATCTTATGTACAAAGTTTTATACAGGTATATGTGTGTGTGCACACGCATACGTGCATGCTTGTACAACCACACATAAAATTCTTGGCATCAAACCACTTCTTTAGTTTCAGAAGTTTATTCTTTCTATTGTTAGTATTTCATTAATATTCTATCATTAATACTGCAGTTGAATATAAAAATACCATTCCTAAGGTATAAAAAGTTTTATAGAAGTGTATGACTAAATTCTGGGGCACCTGGGTGACTCAGTAAGTCAAGCGTCTGCCTTTGGCTCCTGTCAAAAGTCAGGATCCCAGGGTCCTGGGATGGAACTCCCCACCCCCCTTTCAGGGTCCCTGCTCCGCAGGAAGCCTATTTCTCCCTCTCCCACCTCTCTTCCCTCCCAGCCCCAGCCCCTCCCCCATCTGTGCTCTCTCTCAAGATCACTCTCTCTCCAATAAATAAACAAAATCTTATGAAAAAGAAGTTTATGACTAAATTCCGTTATTCACTTAACATTTATTGAAAATGTTCTATGTGTGCAACATCGTGATGAAGAATAAATATACTAAAGCATAGGCTAGGTTCCTATACTTGAGTTTAACAGTTAAAATATTTTTAGAAAATAAGGACTAACATGATACTAAGTCCCAGTTTACAGTTTTTAACTGAAATTTAAAAAAAAAAAGTTATGGTTTTCTTTTGTGTGTTTTTTGTTGTTGTTGTTTTTTTTTTTTTTTGGTATAAGGAACATGCTTTGGAAGCATCCTCCAATTTTATATTTAGAAAACTTTTAAGTTAGGATTTTTAAGAATTCTCAAGCTCAGCAGCTCTACAGCTCTGGATTCCAGTGTCTTAGGAAACTTCTCTCAGTTTACATCAAATTATTTTAAAACATACCTTCTGGTGAGATGCCAACCGTTCCATGTCAGTCAGTCTATGAGCAGTCCTGGAATGTCATTCCTAGGAATGACAAGTCGACTGTGAAAATGACAGAGGGGAAAATCATGAGCAATTGTTTTAACATCCAAAAGCAGCCCATGGTGTTCGATGTCTACATTTTTTTGTCCCAATTAAGAATTTTGAAATGAAATACTTGATACAGAAAAGATTTAGATTTCACAAATCATCACCTGAGAGAAGAATGGCCTTACTTTTCTGCATCTCAGGGTAGCTTGCTTGAATTTAATACATGTCAATCTGCCAGCTGACAGGATTATTCCTATAAAGCATCTGTGTTCACCAGCCCCTCTTAAAAAATGAGACTACGGCCCTTTCTAGAAAAAACATTTAAGTCTTAACAAGGGATAGTGGTCAGAAGGAGAGTAAATAGACAAGCTATTTGTTTACTTAAAATTCATGTAGATCTTCAAAATGGATCAACATTGTTAGGATTTTCTAATGACATAAGAGAGTAATAGAAGAAATATCTTTGTAAATAATAAAATAAAATAAAATAAAAATAACATGTCTTGTTTCTAAGAGTTAGAAGAAATTTAATGGGTCTACAATTATTTCCCTACACAAACTTATTCATTTTATTTAACCTTAAGCCTTCTCATATAATCCCTTGAGGTGTTGCAAGTCTGGACGAGGGTGAGGTATCCTGAATTTCTAGGTGTTTTGTTTTTAAAGTTATAAATGTAATTCCTGCTTAAGAACTCAACAATATGGATGTGATAACCTTCCAACCACCCAACTGATGTAACTGATCTGAACAATCCAATGCCTGTCTTTTTGTATTTTATTTAATGCATATAAAATCCTAGGCACACCAATAGACATACAAAGACTTCACATTTAGAAAAAAAATAGGATCACATTATAACTGCTTCAAGTCCTTTAAAAAAAATCAGCATAACTTTCTAGACCTTGCAAATATCTGTGTAATATTACATAGTGTGGATATATACTTTATTCAACCATCCTCGATTAATGGGTACCGAGGTAATTTCGAGTGGTTTGCTGCTACAAATTCTGTTGTAATAAACATCCTTGTATTATTATGCTTTTATTTTGGTAGAATCAATATTTCTAGAACTGGGAGTTCCTAGAATTGTAGTTTTGTTGGGAGGGGCCAAGGAAGCTGAGAGTGAGTCAGTATTCAGAGCACGAAGAGTCCCAGCCGAGTAAGAGAGAGCAAATCAGATATGCAGGCAAAAGCCGTCCAGGACTGTGGACTTGGCAGGAATTTTCTCAGGAAAGCCACCACAGTTTGATGGGCTGAGAGGTATCTGGAGCTGAATAGAGCTGACTTCATGGAATGGCAACTCTAGCAAAACTTTGTTTGTTTAATTGAGAAGTAGTTGCCATATAACATTGTGGAAGTTTAAGGAGTACTGTGCATTTGATACATTTGCCTATTGCAATAGGATCACCACCATAATATTAGCGAACAATTTTACCAATCACATAATTATTATTTCTTCTTTGTGGTGAGAACAGTTAAGATCTAGCCTCTTAGTGACTTTGAAATACATAATACAGTATTGTATATATCTTACTCTAGCTTTAGTGAACAGAACTGTATCAGGAGCGAGATGCACCTGAACATGAAAGTCCACATTCGTCCGTCCCTTAACAGGATGGCAAAGCAAAGGGAAGAGAAAGCACACACTGCAGAGCATGTTTTCTTCCAGACTCCCTGAAGATGTAGGGTGGAGCTCTAAAGGGAAGATTTTGTTGTGATGCAAGGGGATCGACTCTATTTGCTCCCTTCATTGGGGTGAAACCAGGACAAATGGCAGTCCCGTTTTCGTGTTTACAAAATATGTCACTTCCTTAGATTCTATTTGAGTACTATGGCTATCTGTAGAAGTGGAAATAGAGCTGAAGCCAAGCAGGTCTGGCCCTATTTCCCTGTGGGCCCCTGTGCTGGTGGGTGGGATCTGAGTGCAGGCATAACCTGCCATCTACAGCAACCCACTTGGCAACATTATCATCAAGCCTGTCAAAACACCCAGAGGCCTTGGGGTCAGGAAGAGCTATCACATGGCCTTTCATATGGGTACACGATGTCCCTAGAGCACTGTTCCAGTTCTTATTTTAATTATTTCTAATTCTCAGAGGTTCTTCTCTATTCGCGATGATGCCATTGTTAAGGAGCTACATGTTTCTGTAGGAATCCTATACAGGACAACCCTTACTCTATATTTCTTGACTCCTCCCATATGCCAAACATCATGTTGTGGAGGATCCAAAATGTAGC